CAGCGGACACGTCGTGCCAGATAGTTCAGCTGAGTCACTGGGCCACACCCCACTGGCTATATAAGCAAGGGGTGTGGCATGTGAAGTTTCGTGACGGACAATTTTTGATGGATATTCTGTTGCAAGCTTTCTGGCAAGTTATTGTGGAGTTATCTTTGTTTGCTGTGTCTTATCAGTAAAGGCTTGGCAGGCAGCTACGGAGTTGCTGCCAAGGAATTCATTTGCCTTTGTCTGTGTCGAGTAGTTTTTCAGGCCTCGGCTGCCTGGTTGGGGGGGGTGGGTCGGACGGGGGACAGAACAGTATGGTTACTCTGAAACTCCATTGCTCAATGAAAGGCCACAGCATCCATACAATCAAAAGGTTTGATTAGCTTAGAGCAACTTTCTTCAGTTTAGGTTCTTCTGAAGTCCTGGGCAACTCTCTGGCTGGGAATTATGGGAGTGAAAATTCAATATCCTATGAAGATGAAATTTGGGGAGGTCCATTTAGATACGAAAGGCCATTCCTCTACCATCCACTCCTGCCTGTAACCGGGTCTGGAACCAAAACTCCACAAAACCCCACATTGAATTTTCCTTCCTCACTATGTCCCATGTAATAAACCTCCCCTACGTAGGATAATGGATAAGAATGGTGTGCCTCTATGCCCCTTACCAGCTGTGGGTCCCAAATCAGAATCACAGGATGGAGGCCGATGTGGCTCTAGGGCAGGATAAACGGTGAAGCGAGAGAATCTGAGAGTGTCCACGAGGCTGGACTCCGCCCGCTTGGCTGATGGCAACAAGGCAGGTGTCATGGGCACTGGTGAAGACAGGACTGGGTGTGGCTGTGCTGTGCTGGGGTCTGACACCATGGAGACGTAAGATGGGTTCTGAGCCATGAGGGGGAAATCATCGTCCCACTCAAAACTGCCACCTGAGTTGAGAAGGAAGAAGAGGGAGGGTAGGAAGGGGACTAGATTGGCGCTCACTGTTATAGGCTACAAGAGTAAAGAAGAAGATAAAAATATAATCAGTAGTTCTGACATGAGGTCATGTTTAAATCTTAATCTGGCTGGGTCCACATAACATGCTGAAGTAGACTAAAAGAATACGTTGTGTGAGCAGACCATTATATTAGACCGGTGGTTCTCAACCTGTGGTCCACAGATCCCTGGTGTGTGTGTGTGTGTGTGTGTAATGTCATCACATGGGGTCTGTGAAGGCTTGAAGAAATGTTATGATTTAAATCTTGAGTTAAGTCTTGGGGGTCCCATGGCCATGGTCCGTGGCCACAAAAGGCATTTAAATGGGGTGGTGAAGAAAAGGTTGCGAACCACTGTATTAGACCATTGTCTGGCTGATTTGTTTGGGCACAGCATGTTGCTTTTTATGAGCAAAGCAGCTCTGTTTAATTCACCCAGCTTTAAGTTCCATATATCGTATGAGCCCAGTCTTTGAGTCACTGCTGAGTAGAAGACAGCACAAGAACTAGACAGCTGCAGAAAGATTTCCTTCGTAGGGCTTAGATGCATCGGTAGGAAAAAATATATAGCAATGCATAGATTTTCCTAATGTCATTATTTCCTAATTCCTCCAATTTGCTCAACTCCATCTCAGGTCCTTCTGCTCTGCAGCTCCCATTTGACAAGTTAATTTCGGGATGGAAGCATAATCACTTTTAGTTCTTTAGATCAACTAGTCTTTTCACAGACATATATGTGTTTCACAAACACCTGGCTAATGATCTATGCTCACACACACCCTGTTAGAACATGTAATTTCACCATGAGGAAATTCTTTCTGCAACTAAACTTTATTGGCATGCTTTGTACAATAACTCGTGTTAAAAAAAAAGTCTTCCTATCATCTGCAAGTTCTGGCTTCCCTTTCTTCCATTATGCTAGGGAGGAAATTTGAGGACTTGTACTGGAAAATCCTGACTGCTGCTTCCCTCTCAGTCCATTGATCTGCTGGGTAGACTCTGTCAAAATGAATGGGAGTTCCAGATGCCCGTATTTGATCTTACAGGCCAAAGGAGGTCACCTCAGGGCTATTTAGGCTTCCTAAAGCATCTCTTAAACTAAGCAGGATTAAAGCCTGGCTGCCCCAAAGACAACTTGTCAGACAGTGAAGACAGATGCCAAAGTGTGTTCTGAATATAGGAAGCTCCATAAATCCTTTGCCTCTCTGTGTGTCATTGAATAAGTCTCTGGGAAACACTTATGAGTACTTGGAAAAGTACTATTAAGCCACTAGAAGGGGGCCAACTCTGTATAAGGAATTTAGCTCAATTTATGACACCATTATTTATTTATTTGGATCCCACCTTTATTATTTTTACAAAGTAATTCAAGGCGATCAACATATGCAACACATCTTCCACCTCCTATTTTCCCCACAACAACAACCCTGTGTGGCACATTGGGCTGAGAGAGAATGACTGGCCCCAAAATCACCCAGCTGGCTTTCATGCCTAAGGCGGGACTAGAACTCAAAGTCTCCTAGCTGCTAGCCTGGTGCCTTAACCACTAGACCAAACTGGCTCTATTTGTTTATTTGTCACAATTTGTGGCACAGGCCACTGCTTCATGTGACTTTCAAAAGACCAAAGAGAAGTTCAGGGACAGGCTGATGAATGACATTTAGCTATAAAGTCTAGAGAAGCTCCAGATCTCATGAGCAACTATGACAGCTGATTATTGGCCCAATGCAAGGAACGGATTGCCTGCCTTGAACTATCTACACATGTTGGTCTGGAGGGAAGGAGAGAGAAAGATAGACAGACGTACAGTTAGGACAGGGGTAGGCAACCTTGGCTCTTTTATGACTCGTAGACTTCAACTCCCAGAATTCCTGAACCAGCTATGCTGGCTCAGGAATTCTGTGAGTTGAAGTCCACGAGTCATAAAAGAGCCAAGGTTGCCTACCCCTGAGTTATTATTATTATTATTATTATTATTTTTAAGACTTATATGCCGCCCTTCTCCCCACGGGACTCAGGGCGGCTCACAGCATATTAAAACAACATAGTACATTTCCCCAATAAACGCCAATTAAA